TTGAATTTGTGTTGTTTTTAAAGAAATGAATGAATAAACATTATTATTATTAAAAGGTGAGGAGCTGAACGCTTTTTCTGTCTTTTCGTTTCTCGTTTCTTCTGCAGCGTTTGCCACTCTGAGCGACTCTTCTGGGCCTGGGTGGAGGGGGTCATCGTTCACGACTCCCAGACCCGGATGGACCCCGAAAAACTCTCCAAAAACGACGTTTTAAGCTTCATCCACCAGCATCACCAGCACTGAGCCACTTCAGCTGCGAAACGTTAGGCGTGCTCTAAACTGGGGGTCACGTAGGACCTCTGATGAGGATGATCAACAACTGATTTGACAATGAAAGGACAATTATGTTCTAAAAGGTTTTTATGTTTAGTTTAATGTCAAATATTAAATGGCTTTATGAGCATTCTGATTGCAGAGAAGCTGACGTTTTCTGCTGTTCTGCAGCGTTGATATCAGAACAAACCTGTTAACATTTCACCACCTTCAGCTTGTTAAACCATTGATTTTTCACCGTCCTCACAGAACAACGTGGAGACGAACAGAATGCTGCTGTTCCCTGCATGTTCCCTCAGATCTCTGTTCCCATAGAGTCCATAGGGAACGGTTCAACTCTGTCCATAACCACAGATTGTTGTACGTTTGCTGCAAATACAACAAAAAGTTTTGTTTCAGGCTTCTTCTCTGTAGCTGGACACCAAAACTTCTCTTTGCCTCCCCACGTTTTGAACGTCTCAGATGTAGCAGCTCTGTCTCAGTCACATTTAATCCGTCTCAAACTTTTACAGCGTTTTTGTTACTTTTTAGGTTGTCTGTACCCTCTTCTTTGTGGGGGGGGGGGTTGACTGTGCCTCCTATGCCCTGAGAGTTTTTTTAATGCTGCAATATGACCTGTTTTCCTCATGCCGGGCGAGCTCACTAATTACTGAATGTAAATATGATGAGAGTAAATAAAGAGAGATGCYGTTCGCTCCGTGTTTTTAGCAAGTTGTTGAAAAGCTGAAGTTTTGACGATAATGCCTTCTAATTCCCACAAAATATGTACGCAACATGTAGTTTCATTACACTGTGTGAATATTAATTTATTTGTACAGGAACAAGTGTTTAGTAATAAATATAATGCAGCAGAACATTTATAGTCTCCAGATGAGTGACCACGTTGCTGGTATTTTTTAAGAAACTGAATCAGCTTCGTCCTAAAATTCATCCAATCAGAGCTTAGTTTGGGCTTTACATGTTTTCTAAAAAAAATCTTTTTTTTTAAATATGAGTTATTTATTCCTGAGAGACTTTATCTTACAGTTTCCAATAAATTCTCCCAAGTTATTGACTCAAATTTTGAAACTAGAAAATCAGTATTTCACATTAAACTGTTCTAATGTTGCATTGATGTGAAATAATGAGTTTCCTGTTGTAGATCTTTCATCCCTAAAGACCTGCTGGTTATAGCTGCAGCTTGTGGCGACACGAACACATTCTCTAGTGCAGTGGTTCCCAAACWTTTCAGCCTTTGACCCAYAAAATACCAACAGCWGAGACCTGTGGCCCCAGCTGTTGGTTGATAAACATTATTTTCACGTCAAATAAACAAGAGCATAGTAACATTATTTATTACGCTATTTTTGTCCATTTTAAGTGCACTAATCTTATTTTTTGTAACAACAAAGGCAAAAAATTGTTCTTAATTGTCATTTTTTTGTGTAATTATTTCAAAATACAGCATATTTTCAGGACCCCACCTTGATGTTTCAGGACCCCACTGTGGGTCCCGACCCCCAACTTTGGGAACCACTTCTCTAGTGCAGTGTTTCCCAAAGTTGGGGTCGGGACCCAAAGTGGGGTCTCGAAACATCAAGATGGGGTCCTGAAAAGATTTTCTGAATTAATTACATTTTT